GTCAAAATCAAATCAATTTGAGCACGATTTAAACCCGGATGATTGTAAACACTAAGTTCATCTGTCTTGGGAAAGCTAGTGTATCTCTGACATAGCACTCGTTGCCTTCTCTAGTGCAGCTCAACCAGGTCTCGTCCCATTCGTCGATATTTGTGATATCACAAATCCCGGAAAATATGCGTTGTAGTCCAAACGAGTCGTTCGTTGTAGTTTTTGAAAAGTGAGTTCTGTTAAATAAAATATCTCCTTTTGAAGTGGACTTTGAGCTTTGTAACTTTGCAGATCTTTTTTATGCTCAAACAGCAACATTACAGACTAACTAAAGTTGAAAAAGTGAAAAAGCATAATAGGACCCCTTTAAGGTAAATCACTGGGGACAACCAAAGACTTGGAGAAGCATTTTTAGGCCCTCATGTTTCTGGAAGTGAGATTTTTTTTGGAAGTTTCCTTGTTCCGTACAGATATACAGAAAACTGCAGGAAGTGAAAATCAGTGGCAAGACAGAGAAAATGAACGATCCAGAGGGTGGAAAAAGATTATTCATTTCCCAGCTAACATTATGTCCCATATCTCATTGTACCTGCCTGGCAATGGTTGACCTTTATAAGTCTTTGTGTGTGTGTGTGTGTGTGTGTGTGTACTTGGTGCAGGGAAACCTGAGGCAGCAGCAGGTGGATGATTAACCAACACAAATCACTAGCTGCACACACACACACACACAAATACATACACAGAGTGCAACTCATTTCAACAAAACATAGACAAATTCTCACATAAACTCTTTTCTTTTCATTTTTCAACATTTGTTTCGAGCAAAATAACAAACAAAAAAAAACGCAATCAGTAACACTTTACAATAAATATTCCATTTGTTAACATAAGTTATCTACATTTGTAACGATGAAAAATACTTCTAAAGCACATTATAATGTTAGTTCATGTTAATTGCAACATTTCAGAATTTCAAACTTGTGTTTTACTGCCTTTCATACGAGTTGAACTAATGCTAGAAAATATGGAAACATATTGCACATAGTTTTTCAAGTCTCCATAGCATAAAATGGAAAATTTAACTCATGGTAATAATAATAGTATTTAAGATATATTTAGAGTTTAAGAATGAAATATAACACTGTTAGTTAAATTCAATTATTATTCTTACTATTAAATCTTAAGTAAGATTAATAAAATGATAAGTAATATATGTATATATATATATACACACACACACACACATATATATATATATATATATATATATATAAAATACTATAACGAATGTATTTCTTATTGTTGGTTAATGTTAGTTAATGTAACCAGAGTTAACTAACGGGACTTTATTGTAAAATGTTACCACACGGTACTTCTATATTGAGAATGAGCCAAGGATATACATATGGTTTATTTCATATATTCCATACTGTCGTTTAAGTGTGTGTGTGTGTGTGTGTGTGTAATTTTGCTTATAAAGTTATTAAATAATTGGCTTGTTACTAAATAACAAGTGATATAAATAAATTATAGAATGAAGGAGGACCATTCTTGGAAAGTGTGAGGGTTTGTGTGTGTGTGATCACAAGATAATATTTTGTGAGTATCTAAGATAATGATTGACAGAAGTACCTGATCTTTGACTTCTTTAACACACAGGACAATATTTGACAATCAGCACATATAAACTGACACACACAGGTACGCAGGAACACACACAAGGCTTTTGTGTGCAGACAGATCAATTAGTATCTCTTGGGTGAAACTCCTTCGATCTCGGTGAAAGAAAAGCGTGAAATGTAGAAGGGTAGAACAATATACATGCTGGCCTCCCAGAACTGACTGCAACCACACACACCTGCTGTACAGCGCTGGGTCACTGTGACTTGGAAAATGGATCAGCGCTGACATTTTGCATGGGAAATAGTGTGGAGCAAATAGCTTAGAGAAAAGTCATTCACTGAGAATCTCATCTACGTTTTTTTTTTTTTTTTTTTGCTTACATATAATCGTGCATGTGTTTGTACTCCAGTTTGAAAAGATTGTAGATAGTAGT